AAATCGTACTTATGACAACAGGAATTCTGGAACAGCAAACCTATAAGTATAGAAACAGTATGAGCTGTCATTGTACTTTCTTCAGATCCCTCACCTGGAGATTGTTGCAGCTGTGGATTAGAGCACACTGTTGAGATATTTTGAACAAAAGATTGGTTGTTTACACTTTCCCTAATGACAGTCAAGAAAGAAAATGTTTTTCTGAATTCAACCTAAGTAAAGCTGATTTTGTAGCAATAAATGTAGTAAAGCAGACTTTTCCATAACCTGTCTCCTCCACATTCTTAACTATACCATCATCATCATCATTTTCATTTTTATATCTTTCAATTTTTCTTTACTCACTTAAGGACCGGGTCTATGCCGTCCTGCAGAGCTTCTTTAATGCCTAGTGATGGCATAGACCACCATGGAGTAAAGGTACCAACAAGGGTTGAATCCCTGCTGAGAGCAAGGACACACAGGTATTATTCAATACTTACCGGCTCTAGACTGACAGACTATGAGCAGCACTAAAGTTGTAATCTTAGCATGCCATATTTTGCAAAGTTTTAGCTTTAAAACTGTATTTCTCACATGCCGTGTTTGTTTTAAAACTTCTTAAAATGTATTGAAATTCTAGACATATCTACCATTTTAACAATTAAAACAAATTGGTGAATCTGTTTTGAGTTAATTTTCTTTATTTGCACCTGGAGTGTAGAAATTATAAGATGTAAAACTGAGAAAAATATTTATTTTTTATTTTTTATTTTTATTTTTTTATTTTCAGACTACTTTTTATTCCATTATGCATGTAAGGTATCAAAAGAAAGTCCTATTTCTCTTAAAAAAGGTATATATTATTTATGGGTGCACTTAAACAGAAAGGGAAAAATCAAGGTAGAATGAATGCATGGCAAAAGTGCCAAAAAGACCTTGTTCAAAAACGCATTGCATCTCAAAAAAGCCTTGGCCCCTAAGGGCTTAAATGCAGAAAAGGGGACGATAAGTATGACAAGGTATAGATGTTTGCTAAGAGTGTTAATATTAAAGTAGCGCTTTGGATGAGCAGGTTGTAATAAAGGAGGAATGTGGAGAGTTGTTTGATGAGAATTACAGAACAATAATAAATATTATTTTAGCTATCCTTAGATAACAATATCATATTACCAAAGTATGGTAAGAATAGTTACATGTTCAAGTTTTTTCTAAGGTAACATGTATTTTGATTTAAATTTGATTTAAATTGGTGAAATATGTTAGCTGAAGACTGAAAATAATGTTGTAAAGTAAAATATGTGCACAAAATTAGGTTGAAATGATCACTGTATCACAAAAATAATTCATAAGCAGCAAGCATAGTTTAGTAGATTAAACTATTGTCAGTTTGTGGTGTTAGTGCTAAAGCACTCTGCTTTGCTATTTTTGTTTTAAATTGATATTTCGTATGGTTGAGCCTTAGATAAATATAGAACAAGCAGTGGAGGAACTACCGTGGTCGCAGCTGCAACTGGGCCCATCACTCCAGGGGGCGCGGCCACCCTGCGGACCTTTGCTACTGCGGGTCCCGCCGGCTATGTAATGTGGCCCCCACGTTCAGGGGTCCATCGGGTGGCCCATGCTGTTAGGGCCACACAATGCTATATTTTTCAGGGGGCCCAGTTAGCGCTTTAACAGCACGACCGGGCCCCCTCTGATGAGGTCAGAAGCTGGGAGGAAGTAACTGCCCCGGTCACTTCCTCCCAGCAACCACCGGGAGCCGCGCGGTAGAAAACATAGGAGGGAGTCAGAGTGGGAACTCTGACTCCCATCAGGCTGAGCCACTTGACCCCAGGGAAAGGTATGTGTGTCTGTATGAATCTCTATATGTATGTGTATGCATGTCTGTGTGTATGTATGTCTGTGTGTCTGCATATGTATCTGTTTGTATATGTGGAGGCATGGGGGGACGTATTGGAGGGGGACGGTAGACGTATGGGGGGGAGGGTGCGGAGGGGGCCTCAGGGCACCTTTCGCACCGGGGCCCTGTGATTTCTAGTTACGACTCTGAGAACAAGCAAATCTATATCATTATTTCATTAGCACCCTAACTCATCTATAGCATAATTTTAAACTATGATTCATATAAAAACTAACTGCTGATTGAACTTTTTCATAAATAAATAATATTCTCTGAGACTTCAAAATGAGAGCACAATGAGAAGTCAGTCACAAGGGAAGGTTTATCAAGATAAAATGCATGCTAGTGTGGGTGTAAAGTGCTAAATATTTTGAGACATTCTACTGGTTTCCCCAGCAAATGCACTTTAATTAGCACTTGGCCTCAGTATAGCTCCTAGGTTTTACTTTGATAAATCTGCCTTTTAGTGTGTGTCTTTGCAAACCACCTGTAAATATATCTGATTTGTTATTTCTAATGTTCTAACCTAATCTTTTAAAGTCCAGGCTTTTGATACATTCACTATTTAGAATATAACTCTTCATTCTTGATATAAGACCATTATTAAAAGGCCATTAATGCACTGATTAAATTACAAAATAAGAACAAAATTAATGATTTTCAGTTTTATTGTAAATGTTATTTTCTAACCTTTTAAAAAAAAAAATCAGAAATTTGATACAGCAAATATTTGTTATTAGTCAATTGGCCTTCTTAATACAGTTATTTGCATTCCTTATTAATGTGCCTTTATTGCAATGAATAGCACTAAAATAAACACAGAAGAAATATAAATAACGAAAGTTGTATGAAATTATTAGTGTACCTTTATTGAAGCTAGTGACAAAATAAAGTCATGATTAATATATGCAAATGTATGAGCAAAGCATCACATGTTGCAAAATGTCAATAAAAGGTGCTTATTATTTAGCTTTGTTTTCTACTACAAACATTTCCACTTCATTAAATGTTATACACTTTCTTTTTCTTTAAATCTTCAGATCCTAAGAAAGAACTATGATAGCAACTGGAGGTGTCATAACAGGACTGGCCGCCTTGAAGAGGCAAGATTCAGCCAGATCCCAGCATCTTTTGTCCAGACCTTCATCACCACCTCCTGAAAAGAAGCCTGTAAGGCGCCGACCCCGGGCAGATGTAGTTGTTGTGAGAGGGAAAATTCGGCTTTACTCTCCATCTGGCTTTTTTCTTATTCTTGGAGTAGTAATATCGGTTGCAGGAATAGCTATGGCAGTTCTTGGGTACTGGCCACAAAAAGAACAATTTTTAACATCAGAAGTCACCATAGAGGTTAATAAGACCCACATGTTTGGAGAAGCTGGAATGATGGTGAAGTTTTTTGAACAACATTTACACTCAGAAAAAATGAAAATGTTGGGACCGTTCACAATGGGTATTGGAATATTTATTTTTATATGCGCCAATGCAATACTTCATGAGAATCGAGACAAGGAGACCAAGGTCATTCACATGAGAGATATTTATTCAACTGTCATAGACATTCATAGCATGAGGATAAAAGAGCAGAAACATTTAAATGGAGCCTTTTCAGGCTTGTATGGGGAAACTGAATACAGACCTCCTGACAATCCTTGTGCATCTAAACTTGCAGCAAACACGATTGCCTCATTTTCAAATAGCTACAAAAGCTGCAGCTCCATGGATGATGAGGAAAGCAGCCCTCGTCCTAATAAAAGCTTTGCTAACCTTCTGCCACCTCTTCTCATGGAACGCTCAGGTTTTGGTCTTCACTCTCATTCTAACAAAGTAACAGATGATAGAAGTAGTGGTTCTAAAAAATGCGAGACAAAATCTATTGTATCATCATCAATCAACGCTTTTACATTGCCTGTAATAAAGCTGAACAATTGTGTTATTGATGAACCTGACATTAATAACATAACTGAAGACTCAGAAAATAATAGTAGGCAAAGAAATGTATCAATAGATTCATTAGCTATTCCATCACCAGTCATAAATAGATCTTATAAATCTGCAAATACCCCTCTACTGCGCAGTTATTCCAATATAGAAGCACTGACCACTGAACCTTCAATAGCAACTGGACCCCCTAGTGGGCAACTTTTATCACCAGGAGCTGCCAGGAAACAATTTGGATCTAATACATCTTTGCATATTTTGTCTTCACATTCCAAATCTTTAGACTTAGACAGAAGACCTTCTACTCTTACAGTTCAGGCTGAACAAAGAAAGCACCCAAGCTGGCCAAGACTTGATCGTAGCAATAGCAAAGGGTACATGAAACTTGAGAATAAAGAAGACCCAATGGACAGGTTAATCGTGCCACAGCAATCTCAATCTGCAAAAAAGGACTATACCAACAAGGAAAAACTACTCATGATCTCAAGATCACATAATAATTTGAGTTTTGAACATGATGAATTTTTGAGCAACAATCTTAAGAGAGGGACTTCTGAAACAAGATTTTAATATACTATATTTTCTTGAAACTATGTTCTATTACCCAAAATATTAGAATTTTCTTCTTTTGGTAAATTGTTTTTAATTGTTTATTACCAAAAAGTCAATTGTTACAGTTGATCATGGAGGGGTAGCTGTATGTATTAATGACAAATAACTATGACTGATTAACTCTTATGTAATTCATGTGGTTTGTGTAAGCCAAAGAAGTGTTCCCATGGAATTCCAATGCTTACTTCAACAATTTTTATGTTTTTTTTTTTAATGGTTAAATGTGCCCCAAATTATAAATGTGTCTTTTTTTGTATGGTATCTTTGGTATGTAATAATCCACTGAAACTGCTACAAATATGTATTGTTTGGAGAGTGAAGGTAAGTTGAGATCTGAAAAGCCAAAGTAAATAAGTACTGTATGTTATAAATTACTTATACTGATGAGATATAGTTGTTGAAAAGTGTAACATGCAAATTGTCTTTTTTTAACAAACTTTTTAGAAAAAAACTACTTTAATGAAAGTATATTTTATTGTCTACATTGTGAAATTTCACCATATTAAAATGTGGTAATTAGTCTTTGCTTAATCCGTTCTCTTAAAAAATTGTATCTCAATATGTTGTTCTACTACAAATAATGTCAGCCACTACCAAAGTCCTACGTTGATCTGGATTGCAGAGCTGTCTATGCATGTCTCAGACGGTGCTTATCTACCTGAATGCCTATAGGCCAAATGCAACACTGAAAAACAGATTTTAGTACCGTATTTAAATTACAATTTAAGAATTATTGTAAACACCCTCCTGAGTATGCCACAATATGGGGTACATAACATGATGAGCACCCAGTCCCACCTTATCAAGTCTAATTCTGAGTACACTATTGTTTACATCAATGAGTAGTGGCCGGGTTGATTTACAGCAGCCTGTAAAATGTGGCCAATTATCCATTACATCTCAGCACTATAACCACAATGCAGTCCCTTCAGGTTTTGCCAGACATTTTCAGATGGTGCTCTCCCAGCAACCAATTCACACAGAAATAAAGAATCACACACAAAATGTTAATTGCCTCAGTCATCGTAAATGGCGACCTAATATAGTCTATTAGAGTAGAAAATTGATTTCTGTCTCATGACTTGAGAAAGTAGTCCAAATGCAATAGCCACTACAACATATTATAGTGGTTGTGGTGCAAGGAGTGTTTGGGTGGTGGTCCTTGATTTTTGACAAATAGTTTTTCAATCTTTTTGACAAAGAACATGGCAAAAATACACCATCTTCAGCTACTGCTGAAATAATTTTGCTTCTTCATTTTCTGTATAAATCTGGAGAGCAGTGATAGTGTGCTATGCTTAGCTGTCCTCGGAACTTGCAACATATTATTTCCCTCCAAATTTGGACCAATTATGAGGAAGCTATTAAGAAATGCTCTATTAAATATAAAAGGTGGATGGCATTGTCCTACATCAGTATAATAATTGAAAAATTTTGAGCAGTTTTTCATTATCTTTTTTTTTTTAATGAAAATTGTTATTGTTCATCATTATTATTATGCTACTGCATAGAATTTAGCACAGCTTTTACATTGTAGTTCCCAGCAGTCATCCTCATTAATTGTAGTTCATTGAAGCAAGGAATACCTGTAGACAAAACACAGAAATTCAACCAATCAGATTAGTAACAAAAAAAAAAAAACATATGCTAAAAGTTTAACTTTCTATAACTGTGTTATTGTTCATTTGTGTAGTTTATCAATCATCCTAAAGTAATTGGGTTTATGCAATACAAACAAATTGTAGAGAATTGAAAAACTGAATTGAAGAATTAACAAAGTTTAGTAATTTGCTATGTTTTGGTTCAACTGGATAATTTTCCAAATCTGCTATTTTAGAAAAATATGTGCAATCCAGTTTTCATTTCACTACGGGTTAAAGGGACTCGCCAGTGCCGGAAAAACATATCAGTTTTCCCGCCCCTCTCCCTCCCACCCCCATCCCATGTTGCTGAAGGGGTTAAAACCCCTTCAGTGACTTACCTGAATCCAGCGCCGATGTCCCTCGGCACTGGGTCAGGCTTCGCCTACGCTCGTCCCCCGACGTCAGCCGGGGGGAGGGGGGCCCTAATGCGCATGCGCAGCAATGAATGCACGTATTAGACCTCCACATAGGAAAGCATTATTCAATACTTTCCTATGGGGATTCCAGCGACGCTGGAGGTACTCATGCATCGCATTAGAATGAGGACCTCCAGCTTTGTTTAAAACACTTTTTCGTGTTCTAAGAACACGGAAGTCCCTCTAGTGTCTGTCTAATAGACAGCCAATAGAGGAGGACTTAACCCTGCAAGGTAATTATTGCAGTTTATAAAACCTGCAATAATTACACTTGTAGGGTTAAGGGTGGTGGGAGTTGGCACTCAGACCACTCCAATGGCCAGAAGTGGTCCTAGTGCCTGGAGTGTCCCTTTAATGTATACTATATAAGCCCAATTGTGTTGTTATGATTAAATCTCAATCATTCAAAAATAAATATGTAAACGTTGTCACTAAATTTAGAATACTGTGTTCTATGTAGAGTTGTGACCATAACAAATATGGCTATAAATTATATTTTCTTGTTATCTCAAATACTTGGAACCTTGTTGTTACCTCTTTCTCATTGTCTTACATAGTTACATAGCTGAAAAGAGACTTGCATCCATCAAGTTCAGCCTTCCTCACATTTGTTTTTTGCTATTGATCCAAAAGATGGCAAAAAAAAATAGTTTAAAGCACTTCCAATTTTGCAACAAACTAGGGAAAAAAATCCTTCTTCACCCCAGAATGGCAGTCAGATTAATCCTTGGATCAAGCAGCTATTACCCTACATTGAAAAATTATATCCTTGAATATTCTGTTTTTGCAAGGATGCATCTAGTTGCTGTTTGAACATCTGTATGGACTCTGATAAAACCACAATTCTTACAATAACCTTTATTCTTCCCTGGCAGATCTGATGACTTTATAGGAGAACTGTCACTTCCCTGAATGTATACTGTAATGTTTACATATCCCTATAGTTATCAAATATATATTGGTGAGGTGGGAAAAAAGCAAATTAATTGTAACATTTTTCACATCTATATCCTGCAACTGGGCTCCTCCTTCTTTTCTTCCTGTCAATTCCTGTCAATCATTGTTATGCCCTTTGTCAGTCAGCAAGTGATTGAGAGAAATGGTTGGTGGCTATGTATAAAAGTTTTGTGTTCTAAAGAACAGTCTAAAATATTAGACGTGGGACCGACCTCATTTTGGTCCTTTATGGTGTTAATATTTCTGAGAGTCTGAAGCACTATGACTGTGTAATGTACATTATGTGATGTACCATGAATATCTTTCTTTGCAAGCTATAATTTCAATAAAATACAAACTGAAATAACAAAAGTGGGGCATGTTGCTTCACCCCTTTTCTATATTTGCACCTTTAAAATTTTTTTAGAACAGAACACTTTTAATACATAATACCACAGTATTTTTGTTTCTAATCTTCTTCTGCAATATCTACATTGTCAATATTTGCCTTGCTTGAACTGGGTTATGAAAATTTGTAAAATACATTAAAAAGTCTTAAAAATAAATACAATTTCTTTAAATAAATCTAAATCTAAAAAACAAATCCAATGAAAAAACCCAAACAAGTTAAAGGTGATTTGCAATATTTTACCAATGGTTTAAACTCTAAGAAGTGGTAGTTTCCGTTGCAGGGGGTAGTATAATAATTTTTTAAACCAAATTCTCAATCTCCTCTCTGTCTTATGTTCTTCCTTGTTTTTGCAAGTCCATCTATCCAACCACATTTATATTTGTTGAGTCAGATGTCCTCTACATATCTCTTGATTGAGTTGGTCTTTTCCTTGCACATTTCTTAGCCTGAGCAATAGCACATAGGTGATACACACTACATAAGTAAAATTATGCAGGCCAAGTAGTTTCAAGAGTATGTAAAAATGAAAAAAGAAGACATGTATTTACTGTGAAACATTTACAAAACAGGAAAGGTAAATAAGCAATTTGAGTAGTCTCAAGATTACGGAAAAAAGAAATATGTATTCAATAAAACAGGAAAGGTAAATAAGTAAATCGTCACAAGGTTCCTCTCATGTGGAAATCCCCAATTCTTCGAGACGGTAACATAGTTTACTTTTTGTGTTCGGTCTGTTAAATCACTAACATACCATATTCTCACTTGCTGAAGAAGCAAAGAAATACTTATTAACCCCTTAAGGACGGAGGCAGTTGTAAAAGTTCTGATCAAAACAAAATGTAAACAAACCTGGAATTTGAGCTATTTGTCTGAACAACCATAATTTAGCTCTATACCCACATGTATTCTATATAATTTTGTTCAGGAGAAAAGGAGCTTTCATTTCACATCAAACATTAAGATATGAAACAATGTAATATGAATAAAATCTAAAAAGGTTTGCAAATTTAATTAATGTTATTTTTGAAGCTTAGCATGGCGTTTTAACTGTGAATGTTATACTTTTAGCTAGTGTAATAAAACACACATATTTGTATTCAGAAATGTCTCATGAGTACAACCGCACCCCCCATATATAGGTTTTATGATGTTTTGGAAATTAAAGGGTCAAATATAGCACTTTCAACATTTCAGGTTATATACATTGAAATTTGCCAGATTGCTTTGCCGGGCCTATGTTGCCTTTGAGACTTTACTGTAGTTCAGGAATGAAAATCACCCCCATCATGGCATAGCATTTGCAAAAGTAGACAACCCAGGGTGTTCAAAATGGAGTATGTCCAGTATATTTTAGTAGCCACTTAGTCAGAATCCCTGGCCAAAGTTAACTTGCATATTTTATTTTTCACATAAAAACAGCTCTTTCACGGATGATGATATCATCATTGTATATGATGATGATGATATATATATATATATATATATATCTGCTCCCATCTATCAATCCTCCCTTTACACAAATATGTCCCGTCTAGGCCCTTACGATCTGCTGAAGACTTACGTCTATCTTCTGTCCGTACTCCCACCTCTGATGCTCGCCTTCAAGATTTCTCGAGGGCTGCACCGTTCCTGTGGAACTCGCTTCCCTCCTCCGTTAGATGCTCACCCAGTCTCCACTCCTTCAAAAAAATCGTTAAAAACCCACTTCTTCATAAAAGCGTATCAATTAAACTGTTAATAGCTCCTGACTGATTCCTCTTCTGCAACTGTCACTAGTCTAATACTATCCTTACCTTTTTGTGTCATTTTACCCCACTCCCTCTAGCATGTAAGCTCATTGAGCAGGGCCCTCAACCCCTCTGTTCCTGTGTCCAACTTGTCTGGTTACAATTACATGTCTGTTCGTCCACCCATTGTAAAGCGCTGCGGAATTTGATGGTGCTCTATAAATATCATAATAATATATATAGATATAATATATATATATATATATATAGACATAGCAGAAATGACCACACTCCAAGGACTTTATAGAGATTTTCAAATAAAATTTAACTTTTATTCAATCCATTTAAAAAGTCAATGTTTCAGCTCCCACATGGAGCTTTCATCAGGACAAAACATAACTTACAAGTGCATACCCCAATCCCTCAAAATAATTTACCTTAATTTTGTACTCACCTAGCCATGAGACAGCTTGCCCTGAATTAGAGAGTAATGTATCTCTGAGTGTGGTGGCCATGTGTTCAAGGCCCAGACAAGGGGCGGGGCTACAGGTTACTTAGTAACAATCCAACTGGACTGATTGCTTTCCACCTTGTGGCCTAGTAGCTACAATCACGATTGAGCTCAGGGTAAAGTAGTAGTGGATACAGAGTCTAGAATGTTTCAAAAATGAATCAGTCAGTGTTCATATATTTTAAACAGAATAACAGGCTAGAAGGGCCATCAGGAATTAAAAATCTGTTATTAATATTGATACCTTAGAGAGGGTTCAGAGAAGGGCTACTAAACTGGTTCATGGATTGCGGGATAAAACTTACCAGGAAAGGTTAAAGGATCTTAACATGTATAGCTTGGAGGAAAGACGAGACAGGGGGGATATGATAGAAACATTTAAATATATAAAGGGAATAAACACAGTAAAGGAGGAGACTATATTTAAAAGAAGAGAAACTACCACAACAAGAGGACATAGCCTTAAATTAGAGGGGCAAAGGTTTAAAAATAATATCAGGAAGTATTACTTTACTGAGAGGGTAGTGGATGCATGGAATAGCCTTCCAGCTGAAGTGGTAGAGGTTAACACAGTAAAGGAGTTTAAGCATGCGTGGGATAGGCATAAGGCTATCCTAACTATAAAATAAGACTAGGGACTAATGAAAGTATTTAGAAAATTGGGCAGACTAGATGGGCCGAATGGTTCTTATCTGCCGTCACATTCTATGTTTCTATGTTATCATACTGGAAATTCACTCTTTGAGTGCTGGAGCAATTCATCCCATGCAGCACTGAAAGGATATATCTGTTCCTGTGTAACTGAGGAAAGAGCTAGACTATAAGTCTACTCTTAAACTCTCTATGCTTATAGCAAATAGGGTGGGCATATTTCATGGTTCATATCTAAAAAACATATTTAACCCCTTAAGGACCGGACTGTTTTTGCGATGTTGTACATTTGCGACCAGGCATATTTTTACACTTTTGTGGTGTTTGTGTTGTAATTTTCCGCTCTCTCATTTACTGTTCCCATACAAATTATATATTGTTTTTTTCAGGACAAAAGGGGCTTTCTTTACATACCATTATTTATATAATCTCATGTAATTTAATTTAAAAAAAATAAAAAAATATGATGAAAAATTGAAAAAAATACGTGTTTTTTTACTTTTACTTGAAAAATCGTTTACTCATCTACAAAAGTGAATGCAAAAAAATTCCTAAATAGATTCAAAATTTTGTCCCGAGTTTAAAAATACCCAGTGTTTACGTGCTTTTTTGCAAGTTATAGGGCTATAGGTACAAGTAGGATATTGCGGTTTCAAAACATACATTTTTAAAATTTATCAATAGTGACATTGTAACACTATTATCTGTCATAAATCTCTGAATAACACCCAACATGTACATATTTTTTTTAAAGTAGACAACCCAGGGTATTCAATATGGGGTATATCCAGTCTTTTTTAGTAGCCACTTAGTCGAAAACACTGGCCAAAGTTAGCATTCATATTTGTTTGTGTGTAAAAAAAGTAAAATCTAAATTGAACGCTAATTTTGGCCAGTGTTTGTGACTAAGTGGTCACTAAAAAAGACTGGACATACCCCATTTGCAATACCTTGGGTTGTCTTCTTTTGCACATGGTATGCTATCATGGGGGTAATTCTCATTCCTGGGCTACCATACACTCTCAAAGGCAACGTAACCAACCTGGCCATTTTCAATGTAAAAATATTTGACCCATATATTTGACCCTGTAACTTTCAAAAAGCTATAAAACCTGTACATGGGGGGTACTGTTATACTAAGGAGACTTTGCCGAACACAAATATTAGTGTTTCAAAACTGGAAAACATATCACAACAATTATATAATCAGTAAAAGTACTGTTTGTGTTTGAAAAATGCAAAAAAAATCACTTTCACTGACAATATCATCGCTGTGATATGTTTTACTGTTTTGAACTGGACTTTCAGCCTGGGTTGGCAGGCAGGTCCCTCAAATTGCAATCAATAAAATTACTTAATTATGTAAAAATATTACATAAATACGCACGTAGAAGTTAAATATATATGCATATTTATATATTTGAAGTCTACGTGTATATTTATATAATTATTTATGTAATTTTGTATATGGACATATGCATATTTCGTATTATTTTTATTTATTTATATATACATAGATATATATACAATTTCATTCTAAGTGTATTTTGATATAAATATATATATGTTAATATCAAAATACAGTTAGAATAAAATTTCATATAGATATATAATTTTTTTAAAATTTTTATTATTATTTTTACATTTTTTTAATTTAATTTAAATTACTTATTATTTATATTTTATAATAATAATAATATATATACAATATATATAGTTATTATATATATTATATATATATACGTGTGTAATTTAATTAAAAGTGTATTTTTATAATATATGTACATATTAATATAAAAATACACTTAGTATGACATATATATATGATATATAGACATATATTATATAGATATAATATGTCTATATATCATATCATATATATATATATACACACACATATATATATATATATATTTTTATTAACTTTATTTTTTTTTACTGATTTTACACTAGCAGGGAGACTGCCTGTCACCAGTAATGTGTACTTCTCGTTCAAGCCTCTGGGATATACTGTGTCCAAAGTTTTTATCCAGAATGTTTCACATTGTAAGAGAAGTTTACTTCGATCACCCCCATGTTGGAGGGGGGGTATATGGTCTATAGCCATTAACTTCAGAGTGGGTAACGTGTGGCCATGGGCCAAAAAGTGTTTTGCTACAGGGAGTTCAGCCTTATTGTCCCTAAAGGCAATGCGGATGTCGGATCTGTGGTTGCGGATCCGTTTCCTCAGTGGAGGGGCAGTTTTGCCCACATAGGAGAGGCCACACGGGCACTGCAGTTTATAGATGACAAAATCTGAAGTGCAGGCCAACCTGTGCCTAATTTGGTACTTCCTCCCAGTGTGTGGATGCTGGAAGAATTTTCCGGGTATCATGAGGCTGCAGGTAACACAGCCCAGAAATAAAAGGAGCTTTGTACTAATACAGTCATCTTAAGGATATTTTACAAACCTATAAGATACAGAGTAAGTTAACAATATGATTTATTATGTCAAAACAATTCCTGGAATGGACAGCATGCTGGACAGTACAATAACTTGACAGATTTAGCTTCACCAAAATGGAAATAGAAATGTGAATTGTGAATTGTACCATATGGCTATAAATATTTTACTTGCTAGTCAAAATGGCACTTGAGAATTTTTTTTGACTATTTTCTTATTTTCAGATGACCTAGTTCTATTAATTAGCATTTTTTGTTCAATATGTATAATATAATATGTATAATAACAGCTTGTACAGGTTAATAATTTAGCATGGTGGAGGAGGAGTATCACTCACTTTCCAATTAATTGTGGTGAATTGAAAAAAAAAATGTAGGTCAAACTAACGGAGTACAAAACTCAGTTGCTTCTTTTATCCCCATAGTATTTACGTTACTTCTTGGCTTCCTAGGCTATTTTTGGACCATTCTGTTTTGTATCCTGTATTCAGTGCCATTACGAGTGCTCAGATGCCCATCTCAAAGTACTCTGAACAGCATGGAGAGATGAAACATAGCAAGGAATTATATTACATGTAGGGGTTATACTGAACTTTATTGCAACTGTGCAGAGGTATTTATACTCACAGAGGGCCATTTGCGTATGATAGGGTAATTAACAGTACATACAGTCAGGGCCGGCCTTAGGCCATTAGGCGCCCTGTTCGAAAAGTCTTCACAGCGCCTCCCCCCCTCCCTCCACCAAGTTGCCTGTATACAGTCACACACACACAGGCACAAGCAGAAAGTCACACAAACAGTTACAAGCAGACAGTCAGACACGCTCATTTACAGGCAGACAGTCACACGCACACAGTAGCAAACAGACAGTCACACATGCTCAGTTACAGGCAGTCACAGAGCCAAACACACAGTTAAAGACAGGCAGTCACAAACAGTTACAGGCACACAGTCATAAGCAGACAGTCACACATACTCCATTACAAGCAGACATACACACTCTGTTACAGGCATGCAGATACTCACAAACGATGATAGACAGACCGTCACACACACAGGCAGGCAGTCACACAGACAGTCACACACAGGCAGGTAGACAGACAGACACACACACAGGCAGGCAGTCACACAAACAGTCACACACACACAGACAGTCAGACACACACACAGACAGGCAGTGAGTCACACACAGGCAGGCAGGCACACACACACAGGCATTAACACAGACAGACGTCACACACACAGAGGCAGGCAGTCACACTCACACAGTCAGTCAGACACATAGTCACACACACAGGCAGGCAGTCACACAGACAGTCAGTCACACAGACAGACAGTCACACACACAGGCAGACAGTCACACACAGGCAGGCAGTTGCACACAGGCAGGCAGACAGTCACACACACACATACACACACAGGCAGGCAGACACATGAACAGGCAAACAGTAACACACAGGCAGGCAGTCACAGTCACACACACAGACTTACCTCTTTCCATTATGGCTAGAAGGGGTAGTGGATGCAGTTGGTTGTTGGGGAAGCAGGGACGCCTTCCTGCTTCCCTCTTCCTGTGCAGCTTTGGGTAGGTATTACCAGGGGTTTTGTGCACGTATAAGCCCTGCCTCCACCTCTTGATAAGCTCCACCTCCGCCTCTCAGTAAGCCCTGCTCCAGCCCGTGATAAGCCCCGCCCCGCTGCCTCAATTTTTTTTTTCTTTATAGACTTGGGTGGAGAATAATTAATCTTCCACCTGGGTACCTGCTTTTCCTCCCCTGACACCAGTCATGTGCGAGCTGTGTTGGCTGTCAGGGTGCCCACTGGCCCTTGGTGCCCCTAAGGCCGGCCCTGCATATAGTTCCCATAATTTTTTTTGGGGTGAGGCAGAAAACAGTCAGTCTCACGAAATGAATACTCAGCTCTATTTTGCCCATATACTTCAAACAACATGAAACAATGAATGTCCCTTGTAACATTACCACCCAAGCAAGAGGAACCCTTTCCCTGTCACCCTGGGTCCATGACAATTGGTTTAGTGGAGGAAAAATATGTATATATCAATTATGGAAGCAATTTCATAAATGGAATTCTTAGATAGCTCTGAGCCTATTATCAGACACAGTCCATAATTGTAGGAAGATATCTACATAAAAATGTACTCTAACATTCAACTCAGCCTGGAGATTCTTGGCTTATGGCTCTAATCTCAAGGAAACTGGCATGCCAAAAATGGTTGGCTTCTGATTGCACAATAAAAATACACTTCTCTCAGATTTAAGGTCTTGCGTTATTGTCAACATATGTTTCTGTAAAGAATTCGTTTGCTGTATGATTGTGCCAGTTACCATGAAACTGGAGCCAAGAACTTTAGAATGTGCCAGCTGTTCAGTAAGTTTGAATTTGTCTTCTCTGTTACAATTTACACTATTAGTATTTGGTCTGTGTTTGATAATAAGACAATAAATCACAGGTAGCTAAGAGTTTATTTTAAAGAATCCTAAAAGAAACAATTTGGATAAGGGAAGGTGTCTAATACAAGTGATTAATTGAAATATATACAGTCTAATGAATGCAATACAAATAAATAATATGCTCTATTTTAATTATATATATATATATAAAATGAAAAAAAAAAAGCCAGCACTTTTGTCAGTGAAAGTGAAATATTTTGCATTTTACACACACAAATGGCACTTACGTGGACAATATAATTGTTGTGATACGTTTTACTGTTTTGAAACACTAATATTTGTGTTCAGCAAAGTCTCCTGAGTATAAGATTACCCCTCATGTACAGGTTTTATGGTGTTTTCAAAAGTTACAGAGTCAAATATAAGGCTTGCGTTTCAGTTTTTTCACATTGAAATTCGCCAGATTGGTTACATTGCCTTTGAGACCGTATGGTAGCACAGGAATGAGAATTAACCCCCATGATGGCACACCATTTGCAAAAGTAGACAACCCAAGGTATTGCAAATGGGGTATGTCCAATCTTTTTTAGTAGCCACTTCGTCACAAACACTGGCCATAATTGGCGTTCAAATTAGTTTTTTGCATTTTTCACACACAAACAAATATGAACACTAATTTTGGCCAGTGTTTGTGACCAAGTGGCTACTAAAAAGACTGGACATACCCCATTTGCAATACATTGGGTTGTCTTCTTTTGCAAATGGTATGCCATCATGGGGGTAATTCTCATTCCTGGGCTACCATATGGTCTCAAAGGCAACGTAACCAATCTGGCAAATTTAAATGTGAAAAAAACTGAAAAATGTAACATGCAATATTTGACCCTGTAACTTCCCACAACACCATAAAACCTGTACATAGGGGTACTGTTTTACATGTGAGACATTGCTGAATACAAATATGTGTATTTTATTGCAGCAAAAGCAAACAGTACTATGGCATTCACAGTTAGAATGTCACGTAGAACTAAACATTTTTTTAATTCTTATTTTCTCCCACTTTTTAATATTTTATTCATATTAAATTATGTTTCATACCTAAATATTTGATTTTAAATGAAAGTCCTGTTTCCCCTGAATAAAATGATATATAATAAGTGTGGGTGCACATAATATGAAAGAGGCTAATTACGCCTGAACAGACATATAGCGCAAATTCAAGTTTTTGTTTACAATTTGTTTTGATCACAACATGTACATTTGGCTCAGTCTTTAAGGGGATAGTATTGATAAAAAGACAGGCAAAATACAATTACGTTTTGTAGATTGTTGTTTTTTTTAATGCTGACCCAGCATAATAAATAATTTTTATTTCCTTTGGTTTTCTCAAATGCATTATTTGGAGTTTGATGGCAGTAAGGTGAATATTCAGGCTTTATTAAAACTTCTAATACACTCTTGTTGATTTTTGAGAAAAGCATTGAATATGAGCCTTACATTTTTGCTACGTTTTATTTTATATTTATAAATGTATTTTAAATATATTACTTCTGGACTACTGTATATGAGCTAATCAAATGGCCACTGAGGGATGAAGGTAATATGAGACTGAAAACAGTGATTAGTTATGTGATCAATAACAGAAAAATGCTACCATTAGAAGTTGTCAGCTAAACACAGTATAATTGGTCTCTGACAAGTTAAAATATAATAGCTCAGTCTCTAGGGAATGTGATTTATGGTTAATTTAAGACATGCAATGGATCACAATTTAATCAAAGCTGACATTTCTTTTACTAATGCTTGTCTGAGCAGTTGCATCAATACCGGAGGAAGTGTGTGGGCTTATTTCTAAGGATGTGTATTCCAGTTAGAGATATATCTCTTGGTTGATACTGCAGAATCTTAAAATATTTAAGTAAAACATAAAGAAGCATTTTTATTATGCTGGTGGTTGCATAGTTAATTAATAACTGATATCATGATTTTTTAAAAAGTGATAATGAAGCGCTACACAATATATTTAACTTATCCCTATTTATAGGGTACATTTCTATTTCTCCATATTTAAAATGCAAAAGAATATTTTTTTTTACTATTTTATATTTCCCATCATATTTTCATTCACTCATATATACATTCTTTATTTGTTCTTTTTACCTTATATGTATCGCCTACTTAATTTAATTTAATAGTATTATACACTGCATACATTTTTCATGTATAATTTAGTATTATCTGTTTATGTGTACTTTTGTTATTATCCATATACATTACAATATACTGGAGATGTCCTTCATACAGCCTGTATAACCATATCTCTTTCAATATGTTATTTTCTATATAAGTTCAAAATGTTGCTGAATCATGGGAACATAGATCCCTTTTAGTTCATTTAGCCTTGTTCTACAGTTTATGTTTGTGCACATGCTTTTTAATATAATTTGAGGCACTTGCAGGTCTTGAACTCAGGACCTAATATTACTAGATACACTAGCATGTCTGCTTGGACAGACAAGCTGGCCATCTCATTCCCATACAGGCAGTGTGCTACTCATTGCGGTCGTCACGGGGTTCCTCCCCCGTGATGACGCAATGTATTTCAACACTATCCGACGGTATCTCCCTTTTTCCCCTCCCTATCATCTATGCGTCTCATAATCCGAAGACGTATGCTGTCCAAAGAACAACACGTGACGCGGAAATTATTAGCCGCGTGTCACGTGACATTTTTTAATCTAAGATTTTATGTACTTGCAAGCTTCGTTTTTAAGTATTAATGTTGTCTATCACCTCTTATCATATATGAGAATAGCCCTCATGTATTTAATCCTGATTTTATTCACATGTAATTTATATATAGATATTTAACATGTTAAAGTGATGATGTCATTTTCCCTGTACTTTTCCCTATATAAACCCATGTTTGTCAGGTCTATGTTCTTTCTATATACTAGTTTCTACTTGAAGAAGCCCTTGAGGCGAAACGCGTCTGGAAACTTTTTTATTCTGTTATAATAAAGGAATTTTTGTCTTTATATTTCAGTTGCTATATTCCTTTTATTTTTACTTTATTTCATATACCTGACCTGACACCACAGTTTTTATTACTTTTTATTGTTTTAAGAAGCAAAGAATCCCTAGGTGGGGATTATACCTCCCATACGCCATCCACCGAGCAGTGAGCCTGCTCGGTATATTGTAAGTACATTTCATATTTCTGTTCATTTTTCGCATTTACAGTAAGCACTATATTCTTTTATCCCTTTCCTTTTGGGTATACTACTCTACCACATTGGGTAACCTGAAAAACCCTGCACTCCTGGAGATCAGAGAAAATCCTGCATATCCTGCATATCCTTGTGTGGGGATTGTTCCACTTCACGTTATCCACACCAGAGCTGGATTTAGCTCTGTATATTGTGAGTAGTTCATAATTACTTTAAAGTACTCAATTCTCTTACATACTGTAACATTGGAGTTCTCTTTCTTCTGTTTTTTATTCATATATTTTATTGGACTACAAGCCTCCACTTGTGACCATCTACTCCATATGCTGGCCCAATAAGAACTTTTTCCATTGCTGGCGGATGGATCAGTGCTAAGTCACCTGGACTATTATTTATTACTATATTTTTATTGTATATGTTATATATACTGTTATAAAATGATTACTATTGCACTATCTCTCAAAGGCGCACCCTTTCTTTCTTGCTATTCTCCTATCACATCTATTTTTGAGGGGATAAGAGGGGACCCCTCTACCTATAGGTGTGCTGCCTACACTCTCTCCATATCTTCTGTGGCCTGCTAGCGCTGACCCTTATTCCGATTTTTTTCCCAGAAATACACCCAAACTGGTGTAATATATTCAGGATACAGGAAGAACATATAGTTATAATGAAAATTATTTAACTGAAAATTAGGTTTATTGTCAACATTCACAGACTTTCAGCTGTTTGCGATGAACAAATCAAACAGAAACAAATGAAATGACTCAACATAACAAATGCTTCGAGTGGTTTCCCCAAATTCAATTGAAAATGCAACTTATAATGACCTTTCCAAAAAAACTGGTAGTATTTTGAAAGCATGTCATCCAATCCTGTTGCACAACCAATATTAGAGGTGATAATAACTGTCGACAACTCCTCTGTGGAAATCTCAGCTTCAAGTTGAGGTGCTGAATCTGCAACATATAGGCCATTATTTACCCACACTTATTAGAATGTTCATAGAACATTCTGTTGGACTTCTATAAATTTAGAAAGCTCATGAGTGTGGCTAACCATTTTCTAGTCTCCAGAAGTTCCCTATATACGGTGTCAAATGAAGATTGTATATTCTGAGTTTCTAGGGATGCAATCTGAGAAAGAAGGCTTTGAATATATGTGGGTTGGAATGGCTTACAATGGGTACATAGGGGAGATGAGGGATCCCTGGTTAACTGTGTGCTTCCCAGATGATAACTGGGGAGGTACCAAGGGAGCTATTCTCTGTAAAGTTTTGAATTAATGTAGTATGTATCTGTTGTACTGCAAAATCTAGAAGAAGTGATTAATTAAGTCTCCAGTTCAACTTCCAAGGTCTAAAGAGGGGGAGATCATATGAATAGTCCCCAAGGAATGGTCAGCCCATGTAGCTGCATCAATAGATGTATTTTACAAGGTACAGAATAATTCCAGAGTAAAGGGCGTCGACGTAGGATTTGCTGATGTTGCATGCATGGATGAGGGGTAATCATCATGGGCGTCCACAGGGGGGACAAGGGGGGAGCACTTGCACCCCCCCCCCCGGATTTTTCAGCTTGTGCTGCTCTTTTTCGTTTGTGTGATAATAAACTGCAATACCGGCGCCGGCCAGTAGGTCTGTGAATAAAGAAAGGCAGGGATAGGAAGCTACAGCTTATCCCTGCTTCTTTCTCCTCTGCATCCACAGGGGAGCAGTACAGAGTGCAGCCAGCAAGCATGGGGTGGGAGGGCAGCCTACAGATCAGGTAAGTGAGGGATGGGGGGGCAGCCTACAGATCAGGTAAGTTAGACATGGGGAGCAGCCTACAGATCAGGTAAGTGAGACATTCTGGGGGGCAGCCTTCAGATCAGGTAAGTGAGGCATGGGGGGCAGTATACAGGTCTCACATGCAGGCACACTCATTGGTGGTGAAGTGGTGCTCTTCCGCAGAGCGATTGACCCGTGCGTGCTGCATCTGAAACTCCACTATCGCCTGCTGCTGCTCGCACAGTCTCTCCAGCATGTGCAAAGGTGAAGTTCCACCTTGTGGGCATGTCGCATATGAGGCGGTGAGCGGGAAGGCCGAAGTTACGCTGCAGCACAGACAGGCAAGCAGCAGCAGGGTGAGAACATCGAAAGCGTGCACAGATGACCCGCACTTTCTGCAGCAGCTCTGATATATCTGGGTAGTTTTTCAGGAATTTCTGCACCACCAAATTCAGCACATGCGCCAGGCAGGGGATGTGTGGCAAACCGGCTAGGCCCAGAGCTGCTACGAGATTTCGCCCATTATCACACACCACCAGGCCGGGCTTGAGGCTCAGTGGCAACAACCACTCATCGGTCTGTTGTTCCATGCCCGTCCACAGCTCCTGCCCGGTGTGGGGTTTTTCCCTCAAACAGCCTGCTGTCGTTTCCCCCTGGCTGTGCTGAAGTCGGTGGTGAAGGTGTTATGCTGCCCGGATGAGGAGGTGGTAGATGAGGAGGAAGCAGAGTAGGAGGCAACAGGAGGCAAAGAGAAATGCCTTGCAATCTTCGGTGGCAGAAGGACATGCGCCAAACTGCTATCCGCATCAGGCCCAGCCGCCACTATATTTGCCCAGTGTGCAGTTAGGGAGAAATAGCGTTCCTGCCCGTGCTTACTGGTCCACGTATCTGTGGTTATGTGGACCTTGCCACTGATAGAGTTGCGCAGTGCACACCTGATTTTGTCTGCCAATTGGTTGTGAAGGGAAGGGATGGCTCGCCTGGAAAAGTAGTGGTGGCTGGGAACCACGTACTGTGAGACAGCCACTGCCATCAGGTTTTTAAAACTGTCCGTCTCCTCCAGATGGAATAACAGCATTTCAAAGGCCACAAATTTTGAAATGCTGGCATTCAGGGCCAGGGATTGCGGGTGGGTAGGGGCGTACTTCCTCTTTCTCTCCAGTGTTTGGGAGATGGACAGCTGAACGCTTCCATGGGACAGTGTGGAGATGCTTGGGGACGGTGGCGGACATGGTGGCGTTGCTGCCACATCCTCTGTTTGCAGGGTGGCAGGTGCCACTGTCACTCCAGAGGTGGAGGAAGAGGCCGAGACAGCAGCAGAAGAGGAAGCAGGAGGAGCCTGAGACCTTTCTTGGTTTTTGATGTGCTTACTCCACTGCAGCTCGTGCTTTGCATGTAGATGCCTGGTCATGCAGGTTGTGCTCAGGTTTAGCACGTTTATGCCTCGCTTCAGGCTCTGATTGCACAGCGTGCAAACCACTCGTGTCTTGTCGTCAGCACATTGTGTGAAGAATTGCCACGCCAGGGAACTCCTTGGAGCTGGCTTTGGTGTGCTCGGTCCCTGGGTGGGCAGTAACAGGCATACCATCTAGGGAACGGCCGCTCTGCTTTTGCACCCTGCTCCCTCTTATGCTGTGCTGGTGCCTCTGTGCGACCACTGCCTCTTCCTCCAAACTGCGCAGGTCACTCTCATGACCTTCATTCCATGTGGGGTCTAGGACCTCGTCATCCTTCACATTATATTCCACCCACACCTGAACCCAGCCCTCCTTGCCGGTCTGCACACTGCCGAAAGCCACAGTTGGCACCTGTGTTTCGTCATCATCAGACATGTGCTGTGGTGGTCCTTGCATGTCCACATCCTCAAACATAAGTGGTTGTTCATCAGTGCACTCAATCCCTTCCAATTCTGGGGCAGGGCTAGGTGGATGGCCCATGTAAACCCCACCAGCAGAGTCATCAAAAACATAAGAGACTGCTGCATGACTTGGGTGATTTGCAAAGGGGTGAGGTGATAGACAGATGGCCATGGGCTGCAGGTGCCAACTTTCAGCAGGGCACCGGGTGGGAGACAATGTGCAGGAACTGGAGGCACTGTCAGCCATCCAATCTACTATCGCCTGTACTTGTTCTGGCCTCACCATTCGTAGAGGTTCTGTCGCGTACTCGCACATGAGGAAGGTGTTTCACTTGTGCGTGTAGCTCGCACAGATTGACCACGTCCTCTCCTTGCAACAGGGATTCCACCAACACCAGAAGCACCACGACCAGGGCCACGTCCCTTATTTGACGCTCTCCTCATTCTTTGCGTTCACCCACCAAACTAACAGATGTTTTATGTCAGGCGACAATGTAACCGCCAACAGTCAACTATTTTTTTTTTTAGTTTATTGGACTGCAAGAAATGCACCGCAGGCTGCAAATGTACTATTTAGCAACCAAAAAATTATAATTTTTGAAAGTACGATGTAACCACACTATTAGACGCTTCTATTTGACTCTCAGATAGGAAGTGCAGTCCGCAAATGTACTAGTTAGCAGATTAGCACCCAGAAAATAAGAATGTTTACCACTGCGCTGCAAGCACACTATTAGATGCTTCGATTTGACTTTCAGATATGAAGAGCAGGCCCCAAAATGTACTAGTTAGCAGATTAGCACCCAGAAAATGTGAATTTTTACAACTGCACTGTAAGCACACTATTAGACGCTTCGATTTGACTCTCAGATATGAAGTGCACCACAGGCCCCAAAATATACTATTTAGCAGATTAGCAGCAAAACAATTAGAATGTTTACAACTGCGCTATAAGCACACTA